CACCCCCTGAAACTCCCCCTGAAACTCCCCCACAGAACCCCGCAAACACTCCCTGAATACCCCCCAAACACCCCCTGAGATACGAACACAGTCTGACCAATCGAGTATTAGGTTGGAGTTTAGGTTGGATTGCTCGAAACCTCACTCAGTGTCGGAACAAAATGGCTTTAGGTTGATCCCCTGAAGGGTCTGCACAGGACAATTCTTACTACGGGATCTCTGAATTCTTCCTGGTACCACACGGAGTTATTGGGTTGGATCAGTGGATGCGCAATTTTCATGATGCTTTCAGCCACCCCTGCTCACCACCCCTAAAGTGTAACGTTACATTGTCTGATGCGTTGAACACTACTAAGATGCTTTAAACCAATGCTTTAAACCCCAACAACATGCGTAAAGCGACCAGTGTGTTTCCTGGCCATTTTGCAGAAGCGCGCTGTGCATCCAGGTGCTATGGGCGGGATGTACCCGGGTGCTGTTTTGCCCGAAATGCATCTGGGCAAATCGGGCCTTGCATGCGACCCGTTTTGCCTGGATGGATTTCGGGCAAAACGGCACCCTGTTCCATCCCGCCCGACGCGCGTGCATGCACAGCGCGTTTCTGCAAAATGGCTGTGAAACGGGCTGGTGGCTTAAACCCCAACAAGATGCATTACGCCCCAACCGACGCTTTCTGAACTTGATCAGAAGATGGGCGACAATACAGTATGTAAGTTGATTGGGGCAAAATGAAAGTGGCTGTACTTCAGTTGATCAAAGCCAGCTGGCTCGAGGGGTAATTACCTGATCAAGGGGTAATTGTTGCTCTAGAAGGTGTAATCTCTGGATCAAGGGTGTATATTATTGCAGGGCAAGAAGGTGGCCATCCCTGTCCTTCCTTCGGGCACTTTTCGTGAGCCTCTGTCTGGATGGTTGGCCCTTCTACCTCGCTGGCTTGCAGATGTTGGACATCATTGTGAGGCAATGAGGAGGAGAAGTCTTCTCCCTCCCTCCTCTGTACCTTCTATCTTGATGGTTGGCCCTTCTACCTCACCGGGTTTGCAGACATTAGACATCATTGCAGGGCAAGGAGGGGAGGTGACCCTCCCCCTCCTTCCTCCGGTACCCGCTATCTTGATGGTCGACCCTTCTTCCTCAATGGGCTTGTGGTATTTCCACCCTAATCAGGATTTTTTGGTGACATAGTGACATATTTATGCTGGTGCAGCTGTCGTTTTGGTCTTGCATTTTACCTGAACTGTTTCCGCGTGACTACTCTTTGTGCTTGTTGCTGCTGCCCAGTATTGTTTTTCACTGGCCTCCTTTTACTATGGCTCTTTTATTGTTTGAACTTTGAAAAACTGTGTGAGCAGCAAGCTAGGGTAATCGCGCAGCAAAAAGTTGCGGAGGTGACAGCTCAACAGCAGTCCATCCAAGCGCAGAAAGATCAAGCAAGATCAGCAGGTAATCTTGTGAACAGTGTGGTCCTCAGTCGGTACACCCCTGAACTGTCGAAATAAAGGCCCGAGTTCGAACTCCACTGGAAGCAGATGAGTGCAATACTGCAATTTTGAATTAACTAGGGCTGGTCAGCTCGGTGATGATATCTCAAGGTCGTCGCCCTTTTTAAAAAGGTAATCTTGTGAACAGTGTGGTCGTTTCCCAACCTTGTGACATGGAGATATCGATCACCATGTCGTGTCCGCTGTATTCGGTGTCTTGCATGCGTGGCGGTGAAAAGTCCAAGCGTTGACTTCGTCCTGTTGCGGTCAACTATTATTGTCGTGGTGAAAAGTTGGACCGTTGGCTTCTTCTTGCTGTTCAAAAGTGGAAGCATTTCTGTTCACGAATGGTCTTCTGCCACGATGAACTATTATTGTTGCGACTTATCTGGGGGGCCGCGGCCTGAAGTCGAATGCAAAACTTCGTTACTGCACCCGTCATGTTGCAGTGGCCGCAAAGTCTGAGAGTAAAATGTCAAACTTAGGTGCAAATCTATGGATGATACCTAGCTCTGTGCGTATAGGTCGGGATTAGATATGTGGTTAACTTCTTTACCGCACCCATCAACATCTGATAGTAACAGTATCGAGGACATGCAAATCTATGGATGGTACTTAGCTCCTTGCCTAGAGGCTCAGAGTCGATCTGTGCTTTTAGAAGTTGCTGTTAGAGGTGTGCTTCACAGTGCTGGTTTGTGGGTTTCCCTGGGGATGCGATCGCTCAATGCAGTTTGTGCAGAGTCTAAGGAATGTCGGTAGTGTTTAGCGGATTAGGGTCCAGCCTCAGTGGTGCTATATCCATGCGTCCTGAGCAGGAACCTGGTTGTGAAGTTGGCCAGATTCGTCCTGGCATAGCAAGAACATAGCACCAGTGTGGCCTGAACCCGAAGCTGGCTACAGCTGATATGACAAAATACCTTGGAGCTGTAGCGGTAGTCGGAGGCGGCAGCTAAAACGTCGACGTATTATCGGGCTGCAGCTGGTTGTGTGCGCAGTGGATGAGGTTGGATAAAGCTGCGGGAAACTCAACTCCACCTACATGAGTGTGCAAACTGAATGATCAAAGCAGTCCGTCTATGTAAGTACGCAAGCGGAATGGTGTAAGCAGTAGATAGAATGCGAGGCTTGCACTAGTGGACTGGGAAATGTGGCCCCCTGGGAAGCTGAATGACACCTTTCGCCTGGTCAGAGCAAGAGATTTTGGCACAAATGGTTAACGGGGACCCCCATTTTCAGGCCCTGCGTAACGAGTCCAAAACTGAAATTAGGGTTTCAGGGTCAAATTTTATGTTTTAAATTGTTTTTTGAATTTTGTTCTTTTGCCTGTTTTTGTTTTGGTTCAAGGTTGGTGTGTGTCAAATTTGTGTCATTTGGAGAATTGGAATTTCCTCTGTTAAGATTTCTGAAATTTCTCAAGATTTCTGAAATTGAGATGTTGGCGAAATTTCATGAAAATGCACTTTTGCCTTGCTGTTTTATATGTTTTTTATCTAGGCTACCAGCCGGGCCGCCCGGGTCCCGGGTGGCCAGCCCGTGCAACGACCAGGGAAGGTCCCAGCAAAAAGAAAAGAAATCCAAAAAATCCGAAAAATCGGCAAAAAAAACTATGTTATGCAGAAAAATGAACTAAACTACTTTTGCCTCAGGGTC